CATCCCATCTAACTGACACACGTTCTATTTGAAAGGCCAACTCTGTTTTCAGAGCAGTTCTACAAACTATATTTTTAAAATTAGTCAACCTCAATACAGGTTGTGGGTTACTGTGACCCTAGCTTGCTCATTGCATTTGTCATGTTCTGCTGCTGTCACATTCTGAATTGTGGTTACTCCAACAGCAGTTCACAAAAGTTAAATGTTTCCCTCTTCCTCATTGTAAACATGTGGCAGTGTAAGGCAGCCAAATAAACCACAGCTACAGATAGGCAGGAGGGTTCCCACCCCCGCTCCCGGGAAACCTCCCCCTCAGAAAACCAGATGCTTATCAGTACAGAAGGGTGAATGAACATCAACTGACGAAAAACAAGATAGTTAAATGCATAATTTTTATATATGTGATATAAAGATCAGGGAATTGTAGATGTATCAGTTCCATGTTTAATTGCACTTCTGTCCCCTCAAGAGCACTCTATGGGGCAGGAACTCGTGTTCCTCTCCCTCCAGAATAGTGTTTTAGGGTTGTGTTTATTCCAGCAGGTCTGATCTTACTTTAGTGCCTGCTATTCTGGTGTCTCTCAAGGGCTTTGACAGTGTTACCAGTGACCAGTCAGCTTTCATGAAGCACAGTTCATTTATTTAGGACAAAAGCATTACAGAGAAAACATACAACAAAACAATAAATGGTCTTCATTCATGTTAAACTTACCAGGCGTTGCCCATCTTCCATATGGAGACCATGGTAGCTTTCAAAAATCTTTCAAACTCTTATAGCAGGGTTTTGTCCTCTTGGTTAAAGTCTCATGTCAGTTTGTGGATCAAGTGAGGGTCACAGAATCAGTTCAGGCTGACACTTTATACAGTTAGGGGTCTTTTTCCCCCCAGTCCTTCTGAAACAGATAAAACCAGTCAATGGTTCAAAGGGCTGGGTAGCTGTATAACCAGCACAGTGACTTTGCATTAATAAACTCCGAGGGATTCCTGGTTCCCCAAAGCCACCCAGTGAGCCAGGAAGACAAAGACCTAGAGCGTTTATCGATACAAAAGTCTTTGAATATTCCATGTACCCCACAGCATCTGACATATCCAGATGTAATAGTCTTTGAAGTTTCCATGCTTCCAGGGTCTTAGATCTATTGTTTCTTCCCATTAGAAGAGAGAGACGTTAACTCCTTCACCCCGGTGAATAACAATACAATGTGAGGGGGAGAAACTGAGTGTCTCATTCTTTCATTTAAAACCCCCCAGAAATTTCCCAGTTCTCCACAGCAGGTACTTCATTGGCTTGGCAACTTGAATGGGGCTTGAGTGAATGCTAATTCAACCAAATTAAGGCCAAAGCCTGAGCTCTCCCTTTAACTTTGTGGTAGTTCCCATTCTCAGCAACAAAATGTTCTTTACAACACTTATACTGTTCTAATTGGCAAATATGCACCAGTCTCTACACATAGCTCTTATTTAGCAAGCTCTCCTTGACTTCCAAAATTTCAAGAAGATTTTAATGATCTCTTTTAAATATTTTGTTTACTGAGATATCAATGGCTACATTGGTCTTCACTCCTGAGTCAAACCAAACCAATATTACAAACCACACTATCTTTCACCCAGGCAAGTGGACTTAGTGATAAATGGTCGCTTAGACCAAAAATCACACATACTGAGGTTGCTTCCAGTCCTAACAGACCAGTCACTTACCCCAACTCAATTTATATCTGAGATCACACACCAAAGCGAACACCTGTTGCCATTTCTATAATGAACTAATTAAAGTTTATTTACTAGGGGAAATAAATTATTTACAGATTAAAGCAAGCATATACACACAAGTGAGTTATCTATGATTCCCAAAGGTGACAGAGATGTGGTAATCTGTCAATTCAAGAGGTCTTTCAGGGCAGACCCAGGCTCTGCCTCAGTTGAGACTTTCTAGCCCTGTGAGAGTTCAGACAGCAAAGAGATGAAAAATCTTCATGTCAACTATTTTTATTTCCACCTTCCAGCATTAAAACCGATGGGACGAGGCCCTCTGCACATACTTCTCTATGGATGGATGAGGCAATGAACAAAGCTGATTTAATTTCTGATAGTCCTCCTGGATGGACGGGCGGGGACGATTCCCATAGCTGGGTTCACAAGTTCAGAACAAACGTTTTCAAAGCTACAAACCAAAATGTACATATTTCTTAATAGCATGGAGTACAGACATTACAAATGAGATGAATGCGTGCAGCAACTTACAGGCATTTGATAGTCTAAATACTAAATACATTCTTATATGACTAATACCTATTTTGAACAAAACTAACCTATATATGAGCTGGTTTGGTTTCCAGCTATGAGGTTGTCAGTTTTGAGCTAACGCCTACGGCCTTGGCCAAAGCTGGCACTTGGTTTACCAGCATCACAATTAGCATAACAAATATATTTTTATAGCAATAAGCTTAAATATCTGACAATCATAATTGGGAGCAAGCTCCCCACACAGGTTAAACACAGAAATTTAGTTGGCATAATTGAACTAAGGTAACCACACATTACAAATTTTGCCATAGATTGATCTATGAAATTCACTGTTGCTGGATATTGTTGAAGTAACTTGCTTAGGAAGATTGAAAGAAGGATTAGATGCTTAGTAAGAACAGTGCTGGCAGTTAGTCGTGTGGAAAAAAATTAGGATGATCAACTCTCATGCTATAGAGTGGAAACTTCTTGAGACAGATGGCAGTTAGAGAAACCCTACACACACACACACACACACACACACACACACACACACACACACGCTATAGTGTCGCACGGTGGCTAAGGTGCTTTGTTTTTTCCTCTTTTACTGAAAAAATTGGTGGAGATCACTGCTTGAAACAGTATATTCAAGTAAAATATTTGGGCCATTGTGCTGTTCCAGTAATTCTTCTGTTTGTGAGCTAGATGATCCTACTGATTTAATTCACTGCTTGTCATCTGGGTTCTATTGTTGCTTTCTAAGCAGGAGAAGAAAAGAGTATTATAGTATGTTGGAATGACTGTGCATGTTGTCAGTAAATGAATCCTATTTGTGTACAAATATCTGTGTATGCACTATTTTACATCATAATTTTATAACCCCCAAGTTACAGTGTTTTGTAGATTTTTTTGTTTGTTTGTTTGTTGTTTGCACACCCAAAACTCCCCTTGGTTCCATGAAGTTCTAAAATTCTTTTTAATTTCTATACCATTTAGACCAGGGGTCGGCAACGTTTGGCAAGGGGCATGCCAGGGTAAGCACCCTGGCGGGCCGGGCCAGTTTATTTACCTGCTGACGCGGCAGGTTCGGCCGATCGCTGCCCCCACTGGCCACGGTTCGCCGTCCCGGGCCAATGGGGGCCGCGAGAAGCGGCGCGGGTGAGCGATGTGCTGGCCGCGGCTTCCCACCGCCCCCATTGGCCTGAAACGGCAAACCGCGGCCAGTGGGCGCCGCGATCGGCCGAACCTGCCGCGTCAGCAGATAAATAAAGTGGCCCGGCCCACCAGGGTGCTTACCCTGGCGAGCCGCGTGCCAAACGTTGCCGACCCCTGATTTAGACTTTTATTTTTGCCACGAAGAAAGGCAGTTTGAGAACTGTATGCAGTCAATTGAATTGTATGCATTTCATCATCAAAATCTGTTTAACATTTAGGAAAACTTGAATAAAAATATGTTTACTTTAAGATAATATTGTGTAATCAACCTATAGGAAAATAATTAGCCTTACTTTGAGCATATGTTACTCGTTGGAAAATGAGTTTTGTTGTTTCAGAATTACTAGTTCAGTAAAAATAAACTTGTTTCTGGGGATAACTAATGTAAGCATTTGATGTTAACATCTCTGGAATGAATGATTTTTCAGAGGTTCTTAGCGCTCTATCAATGTGAGCTGCTGGTGAGGTCAGCATCTTTTGAAAATCAGGCCAGAAACAATGGGGTCAGATCATATGTAATGAGAAGTCCCAGAAATAGCATTTTTAGTGGTTCAAAATGTGGTTCGCTTACTATTAGTACCACTTGAAAGATGCTGGCTCTGCCATATGTTTGGCCTTTAAGATTTTTACAATGGCAAACTTGGGCGAAGACGCACATTACACACCATATCTGCCATTTGCTTGTTTGGTAGGACTACTTAAACATAAGAACAGCTCAAAAGCTTAATGCCATTATCAAAGGTGGAATTAAAAAAATAAGGAAATACCCAACATAAACAAAACCTGGGAAAAAGTAAACAGCAGTATGAGGAAGTGGAACCAGGTAAAGGTTTTCCTCCCCTAGCACAGTCTACTTCACAGCTTTTTTCCCCTACCATGAGTTTGAAGCGAAGAAGACTTCATTAAAATACTGGGTAGCCAGATGGGTTTTAGGAATTATCCACTGATATATCATTTTGTATGAGAAATGAACTGTGGAAAAAGTTGGGGAGAACATAAGATCTTGCTTGAAATGTTGTGGGGGCAACGTGAGTTTTGACCCTCGCATGGTTGTAGTTGTGCTGTAAAGTACAGGTTCCTTACCTGCCTTGTTGTCATAACAGTTTTGCTTTTCACACTGGACATTTTTTATTAGAAATTCCTGAACTTTCTTTTTATGTGCTTTTCTCATTTATACTACTTAAACCCAACTTTGTTCAGAAGTTAAAATTGCCCTAACTACCTGCCAAACAATTTAGAGGAGCATTCTGTAGTGTCTTAGATGCGTTTATTGCACTACAATTCACCGAAAAAGTCCACCTTTTATAACCACTGAGGTACTGTATTCATCTTTTAAAATAAATCGGCTATGTGTTTCTTAAGATAAGATCAGTTTTTTCAAAGGACAAAGATTGCCAATTTTTTAAAAGGGGGAACCTAGAAGAATTGTTTTAACCTATGAATGTATTCCAAGAGTGAACAAATTCTACAGTTTGTAATCCAAGTGTTTAGGTTAAATCTTGTGTTCATACTGTTTTTGTCTTTGTTTTAAATCTCCTCTGTGCTTATCCTTGTTGCAGGACCCCAATAAGAATATAAACACAAACAGCAGCAGCAGTAGTAACAGTTTTTCAAAGCCCCATAAATTAACAAAGGAGCACAAGGAAAAACCGTCTAAAGACTCAAAAGAACATAAAAGTGCCTTCAAAGAACCTTCCAGGGAACACAACAAATCTTCCAAAGAATCCTCTAAGAAACCCAAAGAAAACAAACCACTGAAAGATGAAAAAATAGTTCCTAAGATGGCCTTCAAGGAACCCAAACCCATGTCCAAGGAGCCAAAATCTGAAAATAGCATTCTTACTATAACAGGTGGACAGCAGCAAGAAAAGAAAGCCCCTACAAAAAGGCCCCCCACTACAGATTCTGAGGAACTTACTGCCAAAAAAAGGAAAAAAAGTAGTTCGGAGGCTTTATTTCGAAGTTTTTCTAGTGCTCCCTCCCTGATACTTACTTGTTCTGCTGACAAAAAACAAATAAGGGATAAATCTCATCTTAAGATGGGGAAGGTCAAAATGGAAAGTGAGACACTGGAGAAGAAAAAGCCTACTTTACCACCATTTGATGATATTGTGGATCCCAATGATTCTGACATGGAGGAAAACATGTCCTCCAAATCTGAAGTAAGTGTCTCTTGTTTTCGTTTCCATGTTTTGGGTTGTGTTCCATATTTTTCTTCCTTTTTAAAATTTCTTTCAGGCAACTTTGTTATATCTGTGGATTCTAAATGGGCGTTTAGATCTTTTGTAAATTGTGCAAAATCATGGATGTTAACTATTGGCTATTTAAATGTTCAGATGTTTTGGTTGTATTGTCACTTGGCTCATCAATCTGTTGACATTATAGATTGTTTAGTTGATTTATGGGAAATGTCTGGAATTAACAATGACCTATCAATTTATTCCCCTTCCAAAGAAACCAATTTCACCTTTTGTGAGAGATTGGGTTGTAAGGGTTTTTTTCATGCTCTGTGATGAGGATTTGTATTAAGAGGCAAGAAAACTCTGTGGTAGGTTCTATTAGTTCTATTAGTTACTGAGATGTGAATAAAATATTAGTTCTATTAGTTACTGAGATGTGAATAAAAGAAATATTAAAATATAATAGCTGCCGATATGCTGTTTTCAGAGGGCAAGTGTATGGTGCAGTAATCTACGCACATTCCCTTCTTACTAATAACAATGTTGAGAACACTTGCGTCCTGATTAAAGCATAGCTTTTTGTAACACAGATTTTTTTTTTCTCCCTGGGGAAAAAAGCTCTATAATGAGCCACTGAAGATTGTTGTGATTTCATTGAAAGGATATTTCTGTAAGAAGTTATATAATAGCATTCTATAATAGTACTAGAGAGACAGCCACTTCAGTATCAATAGGCATTTCTGGGTTGGGGTAGAGGGAATGGTAACTACTAGTGCTCCTCTTCTCACCTTCTACCACTTCCAAAAGTGCAGATCCATTGCTTCTTGCTAGCTTTTGTTTGCACTGCTACATGATACTTGAGTTATAGCACTTGGGCCACTAGAGAGCTGTTTAGGTGTTAAGTTGGTAGTAAATATTTATATTCCAGCAGCACCCGGAGACCACAATCAGAATCAGAGGTTGTGCTCTCTGCTGTACAGATGTTGAGGTAGAACAAAGTCTCTGCCCCAAAGAGTTTACATAGTAACAACAGAACTAATATACAAAGACGGGTAGGGAGGGAGACAATTAAATATATACACTTTATATATGCAGTATATTGGTATATTTCTATATTTATATTTGCAACATTTTTTTTAGTTTTTTTAATTACACAAATAGCAATATTTTCCAACTGCCCTGAGTCTTGCCATTTAACATTGGCTACTTTCTTGTAGTTATCACAGCCGAAGTTGGCCTGGAGAAGGGATTAAAAGGAGGAATGATCAGATCACATATCAAGGAGAACAATCCACACGTAACGGGTGGTGTTGAAGTAAGGATGAAGAGGTTTGTGGGAATGAGCAGACAAGTGGGTGGTCAAGGTTGGTGTCTTTGGCTGAACAGAATGGCTGTGAGTAACAAAAACAAGTGGATAAGGTCAGAGAGACAGAGTCTGAAGGGTCTTGAAGGTCAGGCAGAGAAACTTGAACTTGATATAGTGGAAGAAGTAGAGCCAGTGGAGGGATTTAAAGAGGGCAGTGTTTGGAGAGATTGGCAAGGGAACCCGGTCTTCAGTAGCTCCATTTGATATGGATCAGAGAGTGAAGTGAGTGTTGAGGAAGAGGTTACAGTAATCAAAGCAGGAGATAAGTTTCAGCTGTGGACAGGTAGGATAGGAAGGATATTATGGAAGAAGCAGCAGTAAGATTTGGAAACAGCCTAGATATAGGGGGTTAGAAAGAGAGAGAGAGAGAATCAAAGATGACCCAAGCTTACAGTCTTGACAGACGGGAAGAAGGACACTGTTGTGAACAATGACCCAGAAGAGGGCTCTGGAGGAAAGATAGGGAAGTTCCATTTTGGCCAAGCCAAGTTGAAGTTGAGTGGAAGGCATCCAGCAGGTAATGGTGAGATAGTCGAGATGTGGCTACAGCGACACAGATTGGGAGTGAAAAAACAACTTTGTGAGTGACTTGTATTTTAGCTTTTTAAAAGCTGATGAATATGAATTGCTGCAGTAATTCATAGATTTCTTTACATGGAATCATTTGTATTAGATGTGAAGTGGATTTATATGCTCACCACAATGAAGGGGTGTTTTTTTGTTACAGTTAGCCATATATTAGTTGCTGGTTACTTTGTTTTAAAATGATATGCCAGTTGGTTTATATACTGATAGTTTATGGGCATTTCGGTATCTTTATAGCTTGTCAAAGAGTTTGCAATCATATAGCCTTCATCATCCCCAGAATTGTACTTTAACATATCTAGAAACTCCAAAATGGAAGGAAGACAGGTAAATCATAGCAAACTTTTAGTAGTACAATCCAGCTCAAAGTATGAGCTATTTTTTTGTTGTTGGCTGTATTTTGGTGAATGGGAATATATCTTTTTTTTGAGACCAGGCATGGCAAGTGTAATTATTATTGTCTGAGAGTATGGTACAGCAGTTTCCTGGTAACTCTGTACACTTATGTCCATTGGTAATGCTTGTGGCCAGGATAGCATGATTAATATATATGATCTTCATGAAGATTTGGTGTCCATGCTTTTTTGGTGGGGAGTAGGCAGGAGAGCACTGCTCAGATGAACTGATAACGAAGAAGTCTAGTAGTCTGACCCATTTTGAGGTGTCTGAGGCAATCAATTTGTTTTGTGCCTTCCAATGAAAGGAGATAATGCCAGAATATTTCTGCATGTAAATAGTTAGGCCAGCATTTATAAAAAATTGTATGTTTCTGATACCAGATTAGTGATGTGCTGTCAAAACTCCAAAAAGGAGCAACCTCTATGTCAACTGCTGCTATGTGTTACCGTCCATGGGCAAAATATGACCCGAGTCGCACATTCTTGGCCAAAATCCATTAGTCCTTTCTCCCACTACCACCCAAATCCCTAGCCTTCTGTCCTTCAACCTTTGACCCACCACTCTTGAACCCATTCCCTAGCATCGTATAGAGGATCTTAAATAATCCTTCCACCTGGTAGTTATTCTACATCAGCAGGAGTGGTGGTGGCAGGTGGATTGTCCCGGAGCTTATCTGTAGGGTGGTTGGTTGGCTGAGTAGTGGATTGTCTTCACCTCACTATCTGAGAGGGAAGAGCTCTGCAAATGGAGGAAAGGAGAAGAGAGAGGAGAAAGAAGAGCTTCCCCTTTGCTCTCCCTTACTCTAACACTATTCCTTTTGGTTTTTGAGATAGGCCAGTCTCCCCTGAGTGCTAGCGGTTTCCCCTTGCATTACATTGTTTTTGCACTTCTGAAATGCTTATGTGCATGTCTGGATTTCTGTATGCCTCTAACATGTATAATAGTGATCCAACAAGAACTAGGGGTCACCAAATGAAATTAGTAGGCAGCAGGTTTAAAACAAACAAAAGGAAGTATTTTTTTCATACAATGCATAGTCAACCTGTGGAACTCCTTGCCAGAGGATGTTGTAAAGGCCAAGAGTATAACGGTTCAAAAAAGAACTGGATAAATTCATGGCGGATAGGTCCATCAATGGCTATTAGCCAGGATGGGCAGGAATGGTGTCCCTAGCCTCTGTTTGCCAGAAACTGGGAATGGGCAATAAGGAACGGATCACTTGATGATTACCTGTTCTGTTCATTCCCTCTGGAGCACCTGGCATTGGCCACTGTCGGAAGACAGGATACTGGGCTAGATGGATCTTTGATCTGACCCAGTATGGCCCTTATGTTCTTATGTAATTCTCATTCTACTTAGTATGTTAGAAAAAAAATTATACAAATAGATATTTGAAGAAATAAAATTTTAATTAGAGTAGGAGAAATGAGAGAGAATTGCAAAATCCAAGCAGAAAACATTAAAAAAAACAAAAAAACAAAAGGGTTCCTTAACCTATCCTGAATTATTTTCAAGGATCATTCCTCTTCAGAAGAAAACTGAACTTAGAACAGTGAAGTGACCTAAGACTAATTTTTTTTTTAAAGTTGGGTATATTTTCTGAAAACTTTTGCCTAGCCTGCACATTCATCTGTTTTTAAATGCAACTTGCCTCTTGAGATAAGAGTTTTAATCACTTCTCTTAGCAGACTTGATCTGTGATAGCCTCTTCTATGGGGAGATGGGTGGAGGCAGGGAGAAGGGAATTAAAATACTCCCTAAACGTAGTAGAGGAATCTCAGTGGATATCGACACTATGTGTAGGGGTGGAGGTGCTGGTTAGTGTGGAAAGGAACTCTTCAAACCACCCAAGTGGAATTTTTATTTTAACTCTCCTTCTAGCTTGTTGTATGCCTCCTCTGCCCCACCCTATTCATAGCCCTGTTTAAACTGTCCGGAACCGGCAATAAATATCCCACTGTGGAGGCATCAGCTTTTGATTTTCACATGATGGAAGCTTGTCACAAGCAGAGAAGGTCTTTATTTTATTTCTAAAGTGGCTTTTTAATGACTGTTCCCCTAGTGCATGCAAAGGCTGTAAAACTGGGAAGGTACATAGCTGAACAGAATCCTCTTTATAGGATGGGACTAGTAATGTTACAGCTATGGTTGAGATGGCATTTTCATTCTAAATCCTTGTTGCCAGTGACTTTATAACTTTCTGAAAAAAATTACCTGTAAGGCTGAAATTGCTCATGTTTCTTGTCAGTCTTGGGGTGAAATAATTTTAACATGTTAAGAGAAGATTCAGCATTGTTAAGACTTAGCAGTTACCTAGAGCTTCACAGATAAACTAAAATCATTTCAAAAGTTCAAATTCTGCAGACATAAGCCTTTACTTCAGGCATGTAGTATTATTATTTGACTCTTCACTCAGTCAGTTTTCCCTTTTTCCCCTTAAGAGAGAATTTAAGGCAAAAAGGAAGGCCACTGCAACACTAATTGGGATTGTAAAGCTACAGAAATCAAGGAAATGTGTGCTACTTTGGGAGCTCTATAGCCCAATTTATGTAGACTGGGAATTGGGGATTTCTGACACTATTATGAGCATTTAGAGTTTATGGTGCTTAATGATTCTTAATGTGTGTTCTGT